TTTTTTTTTTATTTTAATAGATTTATGCACCCATGTGACCTTCGTCGGTAATTTGCCAAATTGAAAATTCCTGCATTGCATTGCATTGCCAATTCAAATTTCAAACACCATTCTCCTTGGTAATTAGCCAACCTACTCCCCCTAGTAAGCCACTGTTCATAATAGGTAGAGACATGATTCTTATCGGTAACTAGCCCACCATCCCACCTGCCAAGACACTATTTATTATACTTGGAGACATGATCTTCGTCGGTGAATTACCGACGTGGGTTACCAGAAAAGAACTTCGATGGTACTGTTCCGGGACAACTTTGGACACATGGTTTTTGTCGGTAATTTGGAGTCATCTTACCGATGTAACTTTTATCCTTGATAAGTATAAATTCTCTTGCATAAAACCTAAGGGGGACTTCTTTTCCTTGATCATTCTCAAGTCTTGTACTCACGACCTTTTGACCTTTGTAATAAACTTGATTTCACCCTTTTCAAGTGTTAACATTTAGCACCCATCCTGGGGTTAAGTTTTCTTCCACCCACAAAACCCTAAGTTTACTAGACATGGTGAACCTTAAGAGAGTTGGTCGATGCAGGAAAGGCAACCCAACGCCACTCCCTGTTGACACAAGTAGACAACCAAAAAGTAGTTTGGGGGAAATCATCTTCAAGCATGGGTTAGGGTAATGATTCTGAGCAAATTCAAAGACTCACACACAATATAGCTCAAACACAACACAATGTTCGAGTAATAGAAAGAACGGTAACAAATTTGACAAGGAGGTTTGACCTAAATACGAACCTCCAAGTTGATCTTGAGCCACAAACTGTGTCGATCTAGTATGTCTTCGGAAAGAACTTTGCTACCCTTGATGAGTAGGAATCAATGGCACACGAATACTTGTGCAAGAGGATGTGCAAGAAAGTGGAGGACATGATTTGGACTACGTACCTTCACGACGAAAGATTAGCATAGACAAGCAAATTAGTTTAAAACCTTCAGTCGTGTCAAACTTACAAGATACTGCAACAGCTTCAAGTACACAACATGCAATAGCAACAATAGCTCCTACTTACCTATGGCATGCACATGGAGGCATTTAGGCCCGCAGCAATTTAGTTTGTAAGGAGATGGAGGAATTGTGTGCATTACTCGAATAGAACAAGCCCAACAAAGGTCGACTGAAGATACACGTCCAATTTCAATTAGACAACCCTTTTCAAATGAGATCTTAGAATAACCTATACCACCAGCTTCAAAACTCCACAACTGTCAACTTATGATGGGACACAGGATCTAGTGGAACATGTTCAAGGTTATAAAATAGATATGTTGATTTATGGGGTTACTTTGTTATGCAGACAATTCCCAGCCACCCTATGAAAAGCTGCACGGAATTGGTTTGTGACTTTACCAGCTAAGTCAATTTGAGCCTTTAATCAACTTGCTACAATTTCTATCCTAATGAAGAAGAGGGAGAAGAGACACTTTAGATAGAGGGGAAGAGAAAACAAGGAAAGATAAAGCTCCGCTAGATGTCGTGGGGACTGTAAATGTGATCATGGAACTAGAACCTTTGAGCAATCCTATGTTGGAATGCTGACCTTAAAAGATATAGATCAATAAAACAATCAGCATGCAACAATCGAGTTTGCTGATAAGAACTTAGTGTTACAAGAAGTTTTACCACACTAACCTCTCATGATTCACATGTCGTAGAAGATAGGAACCTCCGCAAGGGAAGAATCCTAAAGCAGGTGTTAGTTGATACAGGAAGTTGCAAAGATGTGATCACACTTGAAGCACTTTAAAAATTGGAAATATCTCCACAACTTTTGAGGCCTTGTGATTTTTCGTTGGTTGGACTTTCCGGTAAAACTGTTCCAATTATAGGTATTATATCTCTTCCCATTCATATTGGTTCTACTCCTAATTTGGTGGTCATAACTCAAGATTTTTGGGTAATTAATGTGCTTTGTTCTTTCAATGCTATCCTAGGACGACCTGGACTCAATGCTTTACAAGCTGTTGTCTCAACACAGTATATGACGATTAAATTTCCTATGCCAAGAGGAGTTGGAATGGCGTTATGCAACCTGAAGAGGTGCCTAGAACCTCTGCAGCATCCTCTATATACAATCCACAACAAATGCAAACATCAAAACCCATGAAAATGGAAAAGAAAAATCCTACGTCTAGAAGGTGGGGTTTGGTGGCAGTTGGAGATATCCCAATGAAGGAAATTTTCATTTTTTTTGTTTGTGTTGGGATGTGTGAAAACTTACACGAATAAGAAATGTCAAATCATTAAAAAAAGACATGGTTTTTTTACACGTTATTAAGTTTATTTAAAAAAAACGATATAGATAGTGTGATGGTAAATTTTAAAAAAATAATAATAATAAGAGAGTTGGATTTGAGTGGTGTTGTAGGTAAATAAAGTAGTGTAAAAAATTTAAAAAAAAATTATTTTTTATTATACAATTATATAATTAAGATAAAAAAAACTACCTATATTTACCAAGAAAAAAAATGCCACCTATATCACTTTTGTTGACGAAATAACCAAATTAGTATTAAAAATTAAATTTTAAAAATAATTTTGATATCTTTTAATTTTACAGATAAATTCAATATAAATATAAAGATTGAGAAATCAAATTGATAATTTAATCTTACAATAATAACATATTGTTAAATAAAAATATATATAATATCATGTATAAATCTTAAATAAAAAAATAAATTATATAATAACTCATCATAATATTTTTCATAAAAAATAAAGATTAAATCATAAACTTATAATTATAAATTTATAACCAAAACTGCAGTATAATCATTTCATTTTCTAATCAACATCTACAATTTGCAACCTTCTTATGCATCACCGTCAACAATTAAATTTTTTTGGTACAACTGTCAACAATTAATTAGGATACCGTTCGACAAGGAAAATGAAATAAATGGAGGGCTTCATTTTATAATTTAAAATACATAATTTTTTTTT